TTTTTTTTTTTTTTTTTTTTTTGTATTTGTTCTATACTTTTGACTTTTAAAGTTATAAAACACTTTATTGTCTTAAATTATACATGTCTTTAAAACTTACTAACATTTTTATATTTTTTATTAGATTTTTACGTATAATATATCAAATGAAATATTTTTTGACGAGTTTAGATTTGATATCCCAATTGTATATGTAATAGAACATAATAAGTTTATTTTTTACTATAAAATTAATTTATAAATACTTATATTTTTATTAAAAACTAATAAAATTATACATCAATTAAAAAAAGTTATCTATAAATTCATTAAAAAAAGTGAATTAGAAAAATTATTGTAACATATAATGAACTACTCGTACAAGCTAAAAGTTACATTTTAAATATATAAGTAATAATTAGAAAAAAAAATATTATTATTATATAGACTGACAAATCGTATATAAGTATAAAAAAAGCTTCATTCTATAAAAATATTTTAGAAATAATAAAAATTTAAACAAATCAAAAAATTCTCTTTACAATTTACTTTTATTTATTTCTAACTTTAATATAATATTATCTATTAATATATAATAAGGATTAACATAATTCACTTTTAGAAACATTTTCCCGCTAATTTCATTAATTATTGTCTAAAAATAGTAAATTAACAAAAATCAATGTAATTAATGTACATAATCTTTTTAGTCAAATATTTATGGTTATTACCTTTATTAGCTGAATTTAAATTTAGGATGATTTAGTTTTATGGAAACAAATATGGGAGTATTATAGAAACTTTCGAAATCCTTAGTTTAAATATATAGACTTGATTGAGCAACTGTAGAGAATTAATCGTTAATCTTTATATCTATATTATATTTCATGTATTGAGTAAAACATAATAAATTAATACTTATGTTATTTTTCATTCATCTTTTTGTTGACATAGTAGAGTTGCAAGATTATCTTTTTTCTTCGTAGACAAGATAACCAATACAAAAATATAAATAACATTTATGTGCCGCTAATAAATATTTTAGACAAAATGTAGAAATGACTTTTAGAAAGTACTTAATTAATTTATGGTATAAAGTTGACAAAATTAATAAATCCATTTTTGGTATAAAGTTAATGATTTTATTTTAAGTATTTGATAGCTATTTTTTATTTTTTTCATAGAAAATGTGTTGTTAATAATAAATGTCCGATTTTGTGGTATAAAGTGGGTGATATATTTTTGGTACGAAATCTTCGAATTTAAATAGTATGAATTTTATTTGGAACGGTAGAAGTATATTTGAAATTATTTAAAACAAAATAAGAGCATTTACAATGCATAAATATTGTTATCACATAAATTTTGACAAATGTCAATTGTTTATATGGATTGTGAACTATATAAGATATTTGTTAAGTTCACAACTTTGTATCTAAAAAATTATCTGCGTGCACAATGTGATCAAACATAATATTGTCAATTGGTAAAAATAAAAATAAAATATAAATAAGAAACAAGAAATAAATTAAAATTAGATATTTTTAAAAAGATATTTCATAATATTTGATTAAACACTAAATCCGGCTATTTAGAATCAATTAAATTTAAAAGCAGTATTATTTTGGAACCAAATGTTATGGAATATCTTTTTTAAAAACAGTATAATTATGATATCATGATATTTAACCACGATTCAATCTTTTTAATTCAATCCATATCTCTTTTTAGACTTATCAATTCATTTTAATATAATATAAATTTACCTTAAAAATGAGAGTTGGACTTTACAATAATCACAGTATTAATATTAACAATATAAATGCTAAATAAAAATTAATTATTTTGGACTGTACACTTTATTATATACATATAAATAAATCGCCTATTTGAACTTTAAATATTTTATTTTTTTCATATATAGTTATGCAATATATGCAACTTAACTAAAAGTAAACAATATTTTAAAGATTTCATTTCAATCATGGTAACATATTTTTTAAAATTGTAAACATCTTTTTGTTATAATATACAATTTTCTTTTTATCATTTTGAATCATTTTCTTATCACTTTTTTTATGAAACATATTTTTCATTTAAAAATCGTGATTTACATGTCCTCCGATTCATTTAGTTATTTTTTATCTACAAATGATAAAATATCGTTGTTGTTTTTTTTTAAACGTAATTATTTTTATAAATATATTTTACAAAAGATACAACCAAAATTCCAAATATATGTTAAAACATAACAAAACAAAATCGTTCTCAATTTTTTGAATGAATTTGGCATAAAAAATGAGAATGAGGTGTCTATGCAATATTACATATTTTCACTATACTTTTATTTTATGGTTGTAACATTCAGAAAATCAACAAAAAAATGAAGGAATTAGGTGTCTATGCAATTCACAATTATCAAGTGGAGAGCAATTTTGGTAAATATCGATTTACGGTTACCCAATGAAAAATAATTTTGCATGAAAAAACAAAGAGCTTTTTAATAATGAATGATTTTTTTATGATTATCATTTTACGATTACCTAATAAATGTTTTATGTATTATAACTTATTGATTAATAACCTTTAATTATAAATTTTACCAAAATAAATACAGTCCGTGCATCGCACCGGGTACGTACTAGTTATATATAATTATGCCCATGCTTTTGCATGATGAATTAAATATTTGCAATTTTAGGAATTAAATAAATACGCAGACACCACGTTTTTCAACCTTCACAAAAACGGTGGCCATTTTTTAATTGGGTCAAACTTGGCCGCCGTAACGGCCAGCGGCAGTTTCCCCGTCCCCGCCCTATTCTTCTATCACTAAACCTATTTAATCCTCCTTACGTTTTTCTACCTAAATATGCACCTGCAATAACATATATATAAATAAAATAAATAACAAATATTCTACAAAATCCATTTTTCCTCTTTTTTTTTTTCTATCAATTTCATAGCACCGCAATCATGGACACTTATAATGACTCAGCTTCTTCTTTTCTTCAATATCGGCAGGCATCGGAAAACGGCGTCAGCAAACCACCGCCGGCTTACCAAATGGCCCTCCACTCGGTCCGCAAGATTCCGGCGAGGAACGTAATTACGAAAAAGCCCATCCAAGCGCCCCTGCCCCCGACCCACCCGAAAGTCTACAAGGTGGACCCCGTTGATTTCCGGGATGTTGTTCAGAGGCTCACGGGTGCGAAGCACTTTCAGCCGGCGCGGCTGCGGGAGGCGGCGCCGCCGCCCCTGAGCCTCTCCCTACCGCAGCCGGGGACTGCCGTTGGCGGATTTTCGACCGGAGGCGAAGATGGTAAGAGCCAGAAATCGGTCGAGAGCCCGATTGGGTTTAGCATGTCACCTTCGTCGCTGGCGTGGTGTACGGCCATGCTTTTGAGTCCTCGACCACTTTAATGAAGATAAATAAAGACAAACAGTGGCGAGCTGTTTTTGTTCTCACTGCACCAGTTTAAAATATGGATATGGAGTTCCAACTAATGAAATCGTCCTCAAAAAATTTGTTAATGTGAAGGACGATGAAACTATTGATGTAATCTCAGTTTCTGCTTAAATTTTCTTGGTTTTTACTGTTCATGTGAATTAATTCTTGACAAGCTCCATTTATTTTTCTTTATTCAGGTATATAGCTACTAAATCGAATTTGTTTCACTAGCAGCCTAACAACAGTATAAGCTCGAGCTGTCCCACCAAACGAAATTTATTTAAAGAAGCTTATAAGCAAACTCAATTAGGTATCAGCTAACTTTGCTTTAGAAGATTAAATATTAGCTAACTGCCGGTCATTTTACAAACTGTTTTCCTTGGGGCTTGGGCTTCACATGACCAGAAAGAACAAATAAAATTCTACCTACTCCACTCAGTCTTACTAGCCAAAAAAGAATGAAAAAAATCCAGGGCTCAACAGCTTCAACCGAACATAGACAAACACTTGCACAATATTGAAACAAACATCCCGAGGTTTATTCATGAGTTCATCATATATACTACTCATTTATCATTTTATAAGAACCTCAACGAAATAAAAGGACATTTAACGATGTATCTATTCACAGGGCAAAGACAACAGTGATACAGAGATACAAACATAACAAAGCGTACTTGATGAATTAAGACACGACTATGTCATCAACATCTAGCCAGTCATTTGACTCCTTGGTGCTCTCCTTGTCAGACGAGCTTTTGCCCAACTGAACCCAATCCCTTGAATCCTTATCCGAACTGTCGTTTGATTTTCTATGGCTAGCAGGCACATCACCATCATCGTCTTCAAGATCACTAAATGACACGTCATCCTCATTCACGATCGGAATGCTTTTTCCAATAGAGCTTCCTGCATCTAAAGTTTCTTCCTTTAACCAGTCGTCTGCATCATCTTCGTCTTCATCTACAGAAACACTCGAGGAATTGGATTTTTTCAGATATTGTTCCTTAACTTGGCCGGCTTCCTTTTCTTGAGTGACTGGGTTGTTGGCAGTTTTGGTTTCATTTATCTCAGCTGGGTCCTTCACTATTTCGGGAGCAGCTGTTGCACCTGAGGTGCCTATCTTATTGGGCTCGTTTTCAGGAATAACAGGGGATGGCATAGAAAGGGACTCTTCATGATGAGAAACATCACTCTCATCAGGGCCTGGAGACTTTTTGCCGGAGGAGTTTTTTGGCTCAGTTGTATTTCTGTTCTTCAGTTCATGGCCCAACAAGGCCCTGGCTTCCAGTACCTGTACAGTGACCCACATAAATCAATATGGTAGTAGCACTTATGGGAAAAAAAGGTACTATGCATGGTTACCAAAATCACACAAACATGTTTGGCCATTAATAACTCAATGTGGGCCAGTTATTTTCCTGGACCTTGACGCTAAACATTTAATATCGTTAAGAACCTGTTTTATTGAAGCATCATATATAAGGTAGAAGGTATAACCACCTTAAGGTAAAAAGATATTCTCATCATTGGGAAAATGAAAAGATGCTATGTAAGGAAATTTCGACACAGATCCTAGGGGCAATGCAGTCAGGGCTTTTTAGGCCTTGATTTACACAAACAAACACACATACCCATCGGCTGTCTGTGAAATCAAGGGCTAAAAAGCCCTGACTGCACTGCCCATACGGGCAGGCATGAAATTCCCGCTATGTAACCTGAATATTCTGCAGATATACTGTTGGGGCTAAACACATTATTTTAAATAGCTTACGCACTGCAGTAGTTTCATAATAGAAACACAGAATACATTGACCAAACAAATTTTATTCGATTAGTATGTTTTGTTCCTGGGAAACTGCAGACAGCGCATCCAACAATAATTAAAAATTGCTCCAGCTCCAAAATAACTGAATGTACTGCGCACGGGCTCACCTAACTTGTACAGTTATCAGTTTCTTTCCAAGGAGAATATAATATAATAAGACAAAGATAGTAATGATGAAAAACCTGGGGTGTTGATAGAAGTTCGGCATCCTGCTTATCAAGTCTAGTATGAAGGAGCAGAAAATAAATCAACCAGAAGCAGCTCTCACTCATATATCCAGGGCAAAGTTCCATCCTTAGCACAGCTAATCTTGGGGCCAGTCGTTCGACTGCTAAGGCATGCTCTTGTTGGGCATCAGTCATATAAAAATCTAGCAATTTTCAAGGAATAACACATCAAGTTCTGTCACGTGTACTTTTCAGATCACAGATATTATGATCCGCAAAGCATCACCAAACAAGAGCACTATGTTGATGGATTCTATGCAAGCAGACTATAAGCATCATAATTATCTTCTCATTCACAAAGCATCTAAACTGTCAATTGAGTGAAACGAAACAAGTTTAGTTACATACAGCTGAGTTTTATCAGATTATGCAAGAGCTTTAATGAGTTTTCCAGATAAGTCTGACTGTTTGAGCCTTAACACTTACTAAACACAGATCAAATAAGCTAAAAATTTAATACCCATACCCTTATACTAAAATCTATAGAGACTATAAGATTACTAAGATGACCAAGTTCACAAATCACTGCACAGTATTGTAGGCAAGATTTTAGGATGACTTTATGGTCAGCTTCAGATCGTTACATTTGAAAAGACCTGCATAAGCAATGGTTTGATAATGTGAAACCTTTTACTGCCTGGTAAGGAGTTAATTCAATATTTTGTGTTACACAACATGGATTGTACGTACGAAATCAAATATTTCATAACAATCAAACATTACTGTGTGCACTACAGTACACACTTTATTTTTAACTTCTTGTGCTGGCTACCTAGAAATATGTACGGAACTTGGAGAAATAAAACATTTGCGAAGCAAAGTATGAAGAAGGCGTTGAGATTAATACGAGCCTATGATCTACTGAGAAGCCAAGATATGTTGCTTCAGAAGAAATTATAACAAGATGTGAATGTATTCATATGAATTTGCAGTTTTGCACAATTACTAAGAAATTTAACACCCAATATATGGCTGTCAACTTAGTGGAACCATTCTGGTAATATGTAAAAATCCACACTGTTAACTTCTTTGAGTTAAATAACTTCAGATAACTTTAATATCAATGGGCTATACAAACCTGCATCGAATATGTCAGCTGATTAACAGAGAAGAAGTACACCATACTGTTATTAGAAGTATAACTCATAATAGCTTTGATGACTAGCAATCAGCTAAAACCTTTAGAAATCTAACTGGTACTACCACACAGTCTAATCACACTCAACACTAACTACTTAGAATCTAACGCTAATCCCAAAATAGTTAGATAAAAGAGCAAGTAAAAGACGAGCCAAAACAGAAACCATAGAACAGTGAGGTTCAACTTACCAATATCTTCAGGTAATGGGAAATCCAACCAGGTCTCCGGATGCTCAGCAATGTCGAGAACAAAAGCCAACACTTTCTCAGTCACACCTACAGCTCCATCCCCAACAGACTCGAAACTCTCCACGACTCCTGTCCCTTCATTCTCATCATCCGATTCCAACTGCAGCAAATTCGATGCCAATTTCGTAATCTCAGAAACGTTGATGTTGTTCGACAAACGAGAAATCCCACTCCTGAACTTCCCCCCAATCTCGGCAAAGTCACTTCGGATCCCTAAAATCGAGCTCTGATCCGGTTCCGACACGCCCGGGTCGGATTGCGGTTCGGGCTGCGGCGGAGGGGCTAAGAACGAGGCAACGCCCCAGAATTGGCGAGTTAGGGTTTTGCTGAGCTCCGAGAGATCCTCTTTAACGCCACGCGACGGTGACGCGGGAGATGCGACGTCGTCGTCTCGGGATTCCGGGCTACTGGATTGTTTAGACTCCGGTTTCCGAGCGGCGTTGGCGTCATCGTCATCGCCGTCGTCGTCGTCATCGAACTTGAGAGTGTTCGCGATAGATCGGGCCCACCAAGCCATTATTGATCGGTGGAAAGCGAATGGGATCGTCTAGCCGGCGATCTGCCTTTGGGAGATTACAGACTGGGACTCTGCAACAAGGTATATCTCAACTTATATTTGTTACTAGTACAACCCCTTCTATTACATGGATATTACATAAGTGTTTGCTAATTTCTCTCTTAAAATTTAAAATTAATAAGAAAAAATAGTTGAAAATTTAAATATCTTTTATAAAAATATATATATTATTATATATTTAATACGACAGTTTTTATTTGTGCGACTTATATTTGTTATATTATAACAACATATAACTACATTAAACATAAATATACCAACTGAGAAATAATTTTATTTTTTTAATAAATTTTAATAAATATTATTATTTTTTATTATTATAAAAATAAATATAATTTATTTATTTTATACTACCTCCTGTTCATTATAAATTTCGTTTTGACTTTTGTGATTCATCCATTTTGTTATGTATCTAGACATTAATATGTCTAGATACATAACAAAATGGATGAATCACAAAAGTCAAAAGGACATTTATAATGAATAGGAGGGAGTATATACAACATGGATGTCAAATCGAAGATCATGAAAAGATGATTAATTTGATATATTATATACGTAAAATCGATAAGAAATACAAAAGTTATTAACTTTTAAAATACATATATAATTCAATAGCTAATTGAAGGAAACAAATCAAAAGTCAGGGATATATTAGTCACTTAGTGCCTCAATATGTAAAATTACACAGAATTAAAGGGTTATATTAGTACAAGTGATATTAAAATACCTAAGTAAAGCTAAATAATATTTATGGAATGTCCGAACCTAAATTATTATTTATTAATATATCAATATTATTTGTCCAAACCTACTTATGAAGCATGATTCTTCTCCAAGTAGGATTACGAAGCACCAGAAGCAGTCACGTAGGCTCAGCGCATTCGGGAATTATATATAGGGAGGATTTTTTAAATGCAAAATTACAAATTAAAACACCGCTTTTACTATTTTTTGCAAATCGATACATGAATGACGGTTCCGTTAACAAAAATTTGATATGGAACTGAGCATGTCAATGTTATGTCAGATTTTCGTTAGATTTTTTATAACGGAACCGTTAATCATGTATCGTTTTGCAAAAATTTTAAAGCTAGTGTATTAATTTGTAAAATTTTAAATTGGTAATTAAATTGCAAAAACATGAAATATAGTGTATTAATATGTAATTTTGGGTTTTTTAAACAGTTAGAAGCATTATTGGCGAATTTTACATTGAGCTCCCTGGGGTTTCAAAAATTGGCGTCAAACCATGTGATTTTCAGTATATTTCACATATCAACGCCGCGGCCTCGAATGTGATGACACAGAAAGTCTATTAAAGCATTTATATCAATTTATTTATCAAGAAAATTGGCATGAAATCTCCTACACCATTTTTCTGTTACATTTTAATTGCTTTTATTATGAATTTATAAACAATAATAAAATATAATACGTGTTGGAAATACCATGGAAATATATATATAATACGATACAATATATATTAGAAATAAATTCACTTAAATAAATTAATTATATTTATGGGTTTAATAAAATAAAAGATAACAAACTGCTTAAAATTACTTTTTAATAAAATTCATATAAAGATTGTCAATTAATGTATATGCTACAAAAAAATCATGCCTCACTTTAAATGGATCAAAAAAATTGAGAGATCTACTAGAAACAATTGTAAAACAAAGAATATCTAACTACGAATGAATCAAAAAGATTGAGAGATCTACGAGATTTCTAGTTTTTTTTTTCTTTCTTTTGAACTTTATTTATCATGTCGATTTTTAATATGTCTATGTATTTGAATTTGAACATGAATGTCTAGTTTATTTGATTCTAGGATTTGGTAGTATATTAATATGTTGAGATTTTGGATGAATTAATATAATCGATTGTTTTTTTTTAACCCTAGCCTATTCAAATATTTTGTTCTTATTCTATGTTAAGTACTTGGTCAATACTTTTACATGTTTGACAATATTGTTAATAATTCAAATGATGAGTTTAATATTTAGGTCTTTAATATTTGACATAATTTACTTACTTGAATCAAGAGATTAGTAGGTCGTTGTGAAAAAAAAATAGATATTTAGTTCTATTTGAAGCTGAATTGCATGTGTTGAGTGAAATGCTAATATATGTGATTAATTCTACAGTTTCGATCTTGAAGTGAATAAATTTCACCTGGGCTCCTTCAACTCGAACCGGCCTCCGTACCTGCAGAACCCAACGCCGGGGGTGGCCCCGGCGTCGGGCCTCCGATGCCTAAGTCAGTCTCCAATCCAAAGAGAGAGATAGTGCAGTAATGAATGAATAGAGAGCATGAGAATATGAGGTACCTTGGCCCCCTTTTATAGGGGGAGTATACCTTTTGGGCCCAAGTTGGGCTTGACCCCCATCGTTGGGCTTAGATGTCTTAGTGGGCTTATCCTCCAATATATATCTGCTTTATCCATTAAACCGGGTCCAGTATAATATCCTATATCATCTAGTCCCCCCCACTTTGGTCGAGTAAGCATGACTCGATCTAAGAGTGAAAATTCCTCTTCGGATTGTTTCCGTCGACCTACCACTTAGGTTACCATTTGAATAAATCTTCGGCCACCAAATAGTTATCAATCCTCCAAGTGAGCATCGAGACCCCAAATGAATACCGAATGACCACCAATATCAAATATCGAGTGACCCATCACTGGGGTCGAACACCGAGAATCGAGAGACCGTTTAGGTCGAAAGTCAAGAATCGAGAATCGAGAGACCTGCCTCTGAGGTCGAACGCTGAGAATTAAGAATCGAGAGACCTACCTCTTAGGTCGAACGCCGAGAATCAAGAATCGAGAGACCTGCCTCTGAGGTCGAACGCCGAGAATCAATAATCGAGAGACCTGCCTCTGAGGTCGAACGTCGAGAATCAATAATCGAGAGACCTGCCTCTGAGGTCGAACACCGAGAATCGAGAATCGAGAGACCTGCCTCTGAGGTCGAACAACGAGAATCAAGAATCGAGAGACCTGCTCTGAGGTCGAACACCGAGAATCGAGAATCGAGAGACCTGCCTCTGAGGTCGAACACCGAGAATCGAGAATCGAGAGACCTGCCTCTGAGGTCGAACGCCGAGAATCGAGAATCGAGAGACCTGCCTCTAAGGTCGAACACCGAGAATCGAGAGACCTGCCTCTGAGGTCGAACCCCAAGGATCAAGAATCGAGAGACCTGCCTCTGAGGTCGAACACCGAGAATCAAGAATCGAGAGACCTACCTCTGAGGTCGAACGCCGAGAATCGAGCATCGAGAGGCCGTTGAGGTCGAAAAACAAGAACTGAATGACCACTCCCTGAAGTCTTGAATTTGAAAATTTGAATTTACGTCTGTTGT